TGTATGGCTGGATGTGCTCCAACAGCTTCATCAATAGAGTCAGAAGGAAGAGCGTCCAAGCAGGGCAAAGCAGCCTGGAGGCAGCCAGGACGTGGTTTCTGCTGGCACCCCTGGTTCAAGCTGAGCTATGACTAGAGGGGAAGTGTGCTAAGCTGCCATCATTGTGCTGGCCTGGAGGGCAGAAGCAGGAGGCAGCCACCAGCCTGAGCAGGAATTGCTTCATCTTTAACAGCAATACAGCATTGAGCATCACCTCATCTTGAGAGCCACCAACAAGGCAGCAAAATATATCCCTTGCATGTGGCTACCACTGACAACTAACCAGCTCGGTTTTTTGAAGGAGGTGCTTTGGGGGGATGGCCTTGAACCTCCTGGTCCAGAGTGCCTGATCCCAGCTGTTGGCACCAGGATAACGGGCTGTGCAAATTCATTCTTATTCGCTAGCGCAAACTCTCTACTCCAAGTCACGCGGAGAGCAAAGCCCCCCCCCCCCGAGAGCATCCGTGCATGGCACCAGGAACCACACACGGGGAAGGCAGGGATCAAGGCAGGGGAGCACAGAGGACCTGTGCCTTCAGTTCTTTTGTGTAAGCAAAAGAGAAGCCAAGGAAACCCTCAGAAAAGCTGTTGGTGAGAGGAAAGGTCATGCCAGTACAAAACTGGAAACCTCGTCTTCTGTTGGTGCCTCTTTGGCTTGATCAAAGCCCAAGATGAGGCACTGTTACATGGAGCTGCTTGGTGATGAGTAAAACTCCCTCATTCTGCCTTCCTCCGGGGACTGCTGATCACCAGCAGGATGGACAAACAGACAGTCAGAGAGAGCAGGCACTGGGGCAGGGGAGGACAAAGGCGAGAAACCTTAATAATCAGCCTAAAATTGATTCACTTCTGCTCAATCTGACTTCTCCTAACTGGATCCACATGTCCTGGCCATGGCACATTAACTTCAATTATGGCTTATTAATGTTTCCGTGATGGAGCGTGCCCCGCTGAGCACTGCGGTGACTGATGTTATGAAGGGGAAAAAATTACTCCAAAGAGACACGGTGGGTAATGGAAAGAGAACTGGCGGCTTTCATTGTGCCGACCGTCAGTCCCGGCAGCCAGGAAAAGCTCATTCACCCATTCTTGAGAAGATGACTGAGCTCATTTCTGCACTGAGGAGAAAACTAAGCAGTGAATAGAGATCTGTGGGGAAAAGTCTTTCCGCTTCCCTTCCCCACCCTGCCTGGCACACACACAAGCACACAGGCTAAGGGCTTGCTTGTGTCTATTCCTGTCTTGACTCCTCTGCATCTCCAGTTACTCTGCAGATCAATAGAGACAGGATGGAAGAGGCTAAAAAAAAAAAAAGAAAAGAAAAAGATACCAAGAAGAAAGAGAGTAAAAATAAACTGTCATCCATGAACAGAGAAATGGACCCGGCTGAATTTGTGGGAGGAGAAGATGCAGAGCAGGCCCTGAAGCACCAGCCCATTGCACCAACACCCAGGAAGGGTGCAGTGACCCTAAAGATTCACCACACACTCTGGAGATCCTGGAAAACTCTTGAACTACCCTGGTCCATCTGGCCTCCAAGAGGAGAGAAGGCAGCAAACTCCTTCCCTTTGTCCCTGTGTTGTTTGCTCTGTCTCTTTCTGCTTATCCCAAAAGCTCGGGGAGATCACGGTGAAGGGTTTTCCTTGGTGGGAAGCAGATGGATGAAGGACAGGGTGTGTTTGGATGGGGGCCCAGGAGCACATGGACTGAGAGGATCAGAGAAACCTCTCTGAACCCACCGGCTAAGGCTGCAGCATGAGAAACTGCCTGGGCTTGTGGTCTGCTCTGAGGGCAAAGTGTTTTGTTCTTCCCTTGACCGTGAACATCAGCTGGAAATGAGCTGCCATGTGTCTCAGCACCCCGCGGATGCTGCCAGCTGCCTGCCAATATCCTGGTGCTGTACAGGGGCACAGGTGATGCCACACACTCTGACGGCACACACTGCTCCTCCAGTGCCACATCTGACTGCTCCTCCAGTGCCACATGCCGGGCACTGCTCCTCCACCCTCCCGGGACTGCTCACATCTCTGCTCTCCAGCTGGAATTTTCTGGCTGCTTTTTGCATTTGAGACCTCATTTCTTCATCTTCCCTCTCATTTCTGTGACCCCTGTAGTGGGTTCCTAACACCAACCCCCATTTTATCTAGGCACTTTCCTCCTGTTTCTCAAACACAAACTGGAAGAGGCAGCTTGTGAGTGTCTCCAGCCCTGCCTGCCCTGCCTCCCCCCTTTCCCATGCAGCGCTCCTGTCAGGCTCGCATTGATTTCTCCTCTCTTCCTCTCAATAACCCACCTCTTGTTGAGCCATACACAAGATTTAATTTGGTTTTAGTCTTTGCACTGTAACTGGCTTTGCTTACAGCTGGAATTAGATTGCTTTCCAGCAAAAAAAACCTGCTTGCTGGGACCAGAATAATCACAGGAGCAGAGTTAATTCACATAAAGCTTCTCCACCTTATACACCACCTATCCACAGCTCCTCAGCCAGTCATCCTTCCCTGCCCTGTGCCCATCGGAGCTGGAAGAGTCAGTTCAGGACAGGCATCGACTTCTTCCCTGTCCAGGATGAGTGTCCCCCTCTCCTGGGGACCAGCCCAGCAAGTGGGGACACCTGGCAAGAGATGAAGCAGTGCAAAGCTGGGTCTTGCTGTAGCTCAAGACTTGGAGTTTGGGCTGAAAAAAAGCAGTTTTTAGAGTTTTTTTTGTCCCCAGTCAAGGAAAAGCCCTCTCCTCCCAGAGGCCCTGCTGTGTTGGAGGAGTTGATGTCAGGCAGCTCGTGGTGAGCGGGGCCAAGAGGGGAGTGGAGGCGAGCAAGCGCCGCTGCTCTGCAGCAGCCGTGGGCAGCTGTCCACGCAGGCAACCATCCACGTCAGCTCCAGGGGGAGGCCACCAGGAATTAGCCAACAAACCCCAACCCATCTCATTCTGGCCCCAGCAAAAAAGCAGCATTGCAGCCTCCACCGGGCACTCGCAGCCCGGATGTCTCAAAGAGGTTGTGCCCCTCCCTCCCTGGGGTGTTTGAAAGGGTTTTCCTCCCCTGTCAGAGTTGCTTCTTTTCACAACGTTTGTAGGCATTTTATCTCTTGAAACTACCTCTGCTACCATTAAATGGGATTAGATTTGGGCAGTGAGTTCAAAAGCTGGTGGGGGACTGGGTGAGGAAGGAGGAAGACAGCTAATAGCCAGCAAGGTGCTGGTTTGTGGAGAATTCCACCTGCTGAAGTCAAAAGTACTCATGCAACATATCCTGCACAAGGCAGTCAGAAAAGGTAAAGGGCTCAGAGGAGGAAGCTATTCACAGGACATCAAGAGTATTTTAACATGTATTTTAAAGCATCGAATATTCTGAAGCTGCTGTAGATGCAGTAGCAAGTCCTGGGTTATCTGCACAGTTATAGCCATGCTTGGAAGTCAAAAGTCATTGCACAAGCATTGACATCAAACATTTAATCCTTATTTACCCCTTTCTGAGCTGAAAACTCTGTGTCCCTGTTACAGAGTCTAACCAGCCCAGATAAATTGATATACCAGCTTCAACCCTTCCCACCAAGCCACCTCGGTCAGCGTGGGCTTTGGCTGGGAATTGCCCCCTGTAGCTTTGCCACTGTTGGCAGTAACATCAAGTGTCCCTGCGGGCAGCTTGGCCACCCGGGGGGAGCGGGGCTGTGGCAGACGGAGCTGGGAGCAGGACTGGCTGCGGTCGGGGTGGAGGGGAAGGCAACACGCTGGCCTTTTCTCTTGCCTTTGCCTGCTTTCCCTCCCTTCCACCCTCTTTACTTTGCTATTTTGCCCCATCCTGAGCTGTCTGAGGACCGTGGATATTTAGGACACCTGGCAATACTTTTTAAGGGCAGGTGCAACGTGTCTCTCTGCACGTATTTATACAGGAGCGCATTGCACCGAAACCTGGGCGCTTGCAGACGCGTGCGGAGGTGTTCTCCTCCACCTCTGCCCGTGTGCCTGAGCTCCTCAGGGCTCCTCCCTGAGCAATCCCACCCGTGGGCACCCCGACACGCCACCGGCCCAGCCGAGAGCCTCGGCTGCTCGTCCCAGACAGGCGACTGCTCTGTGAGAGAGACCTAGCCCCCACCGCTGCCTCCTGCCTGTCTCCGTGGGAGGAGAGGGCTCTCCCATCCCTCACTGCAGCTTCCTATCCCTTGGAGCCGTTTCAAAGCCAGCCTCGATGGCACCTGCAGAACATTCTTGCTTGCAAGGCTCAGAAACAAACAGTTTGGAACCGATACAAACGGCTCCTCTGTCGCTGTGGTGATTCTTGTTAGCAAGGGGTGGGTGATGGGGAGATTTTTCCCCTCTCGCCTGTAAGTCTCGCACAAGCTGCATCCACAAGCTGGATGGGAAATTAGCCATCTCGGCATTTTTCCACCTTACTTTGCTTTTTCGGTTGATGTCATAACGTAACATATGGCATCGTACAGAGAAATTAAAAACAAAGACCAGGAGAAACAAACCCCCTCCTGCCTTCCCCTGCCCCAGACCTGTTGGGGTGTTTACCCTCACCCCAAACTCTGTCTGCCAGAGCCGGGGCTGCTCCAGGGGTGCAGAACTGACTCCAGATGACCCATCCTGCTTGTACTGGGAATGAGCTGGAGTATAGTGGGGCAAGCCTCACTCCTCACCCCCCTGGATCCACTAGCATGGGCAGGGCATCCGAGAGGGAACTCAGACCCCAGCCATCCATCCAAGCCGTGTCCCAGCTGCCCCAACTCCAGGAGGACACAGCCCTTCTCTCAGACACAGCCTTGGAGATGCCCCAGCCATTCCCTGCAAGCACACATCTATTTTATCACCGATGCTGCCCTGCCTGGGGAGAGAGGGTATTAGAGGGAGAAACACTGGTAAACTTATTGGTTGACAGAAACACTGATGGCTTAGTTTTCTAGCAGTAACCCTCTTCTCATCTCTCTGAGAAGAAATGCCCAAAGAAATACAGCAGCTGTTACCTGCCGGTGACTTCAATGTTGGAGACGGCATAGAAGTATTTGTACAAGTTCTCCCTCTGCACGTAGGTGCCTCCCAGGGCTGGTCTCAGCAGTCTCATCCGCAGGTCGGTCACGGTAAAGAAGTCCTTGAGCCCTTTGGCGCTCTCCAGCCGGGTGTATAAGTTGTCCATGTTCTTGAGGTCAGGGCCAGCAAAGATGGCAAAGCGGTCCCTCACCTCGAACCGGACAGTCTTCTCTTTTTTGGAGCCCGCCCAGCGGGAATACTCCTCTGTGCAGAGGACCCTGTTGGCACTGGTGGTGGAGAGGTCCCGGACCCTCCGTGCTGGCATGCTGAAGGCCTCCATGCAGTCATCTGCGTAATATTGGTACGGGTGCCAAGTCCTCCCGTTGTCCAGCGACTTCTCCAGCATCATGATGGTGGGTCGCCCGTACTCAAAGGTTATCACGATGTCATCTGTCAGCTCGATGCTCTTGTTCCAGGACAGCGTGATGTTGGCCAGCAGCGGCTCCGGGTACCGGCGCCACGTCACGCTCTGCCAGTACGTGGCCAGCCCTTCGTCCTCGCTGTCGAACATGAGTTTCGGCGGGTGGGCCAGGTCTGGGTTGGAGGCGTCGCACTCGTCGCTGCACAGGTACGGGTTCTCCTGGAACAACAACAACGGTCACGAGAGAAGAAGGCAATGCCTGGGCATGACGTGGGCACTGCGTGGGCATCGTGGGCACACAGCCGAGCTCGCACCGTTACTGGGCTCTGGTTTTAGCTGCTTGTGTCAAACGTTAACTGCTGGGCTGAACTGGAGTATGCTGGGGGTCTGGCTCTGCATGATGCTGTTTCTGAGCATGAATTTAAGACAGAAATACATGGCTTTGCCTTTGCTATAAGAACAGCTGAGCCATCTCCTTTGAAAGGCCCTTCCCCAAAGGGAAATCAGTTTGGCACGGGGACAATTTTCATAGAAAGTGCTTTCCCTGAGACGGTCTCAGGGAGAAACTTTGCTTAAGCTTGGCCAAGTTACAAGCCTATGGAAAGCTGCGTTCACCCCTGCTCCCTTGCAAGAACTGAATGACTAAGATCCCCAAAGCACATCTGTGACTCTCGTGGCTCTTGATGCTGAATGGGCTGGGGACACAGTGTCCCCCCAGCACCTCTGAAATCCAATTTCCCTAGCTCTGAGCTGGGACAGGACTGGGTGGCAGCAGAGAGAGCAGAGATTTGGGCTCCTGGTGTCTCCACTGTCCCCAGGACAGCATCCTGGCCTCAGGGATGTGCAGAGCAGGTATGCTCGGGATGCAATGCTCAGCCCGATGTGGTCACTGTTGCTGGGAACTCCTCAGTTCAACCTACCCAAACTAACTGGAGGCTGAGCTGACAGGGTTGGGAAGGGGGCGGGTGGGTCTGTGCCCACCCGCCAGCACCCAGAAAGGACCTGGGACCCCCACAGCCCAAACAATGTCCCCAGCCACTTGCTGCTTGTCCAGGTGCCATTAGCCCATGGCAAATAGAAGGGAATGTCAATTAATGCCTGTCTTTGCAGAAACCGAGTTATGTAGCTGTACCTGGCAGCCCTGCTGCCCACGAGGACAGGCGCTTCCCAAGCCATGCTGCCCTCCCCAGCTGCAGGCAGGAGTGGCAATAGTCCTCACCCACCCACAGGGACCACAGTGGGAAGGATGCCTCACCCCATCCAGGTGACAACGTCTGCTGCTACTTCTGCCACATCACTCGTTGCCTGCAGGCCTGGGCAATGGGAGAAAAGGTCCAGCCACTCCATTTTGCCCACAAGTGACAGTGCGTGGCGAAGCTTGCAAGTTTTGCAGGGACACACACACACATCCACATGTACTGAACTGCACTAGGGACATGTCGTCGAGGTCATACACAAAATGTTGACGTTTTGGAGGTGGGCATCTGGGTTAGCTGTGCCAGTGGGTTTATTGCTCATCCATGTATGTTAAAGCCTGTCATTCCTTGCCCTGCAGCCCCTGTGTCCAGGAATGTGTGGGTCAGACCTGCCTTAGGGATGATGTGGGGCTGTGTTATAATGGGTACTGTCCGCAAAAAAACCCCTCTGCAACATACTGCAGACGTTTTTTGCATATGAAGCATCTCTTTGCTGTGACTTTACCTCCCTTTCAGACTCAAAATCCAGAGGATCAAGGAGGGAGAGGGATTGATACAACAGTGAGCTCTGCTGCAGTGGGACCCTCATCAGGGAGGCAGAGACACCTGGCAGAGGAGGAGGAGGAGGAGGAGGAGGAAGAGGAGGAGGAGGAAGAGGTGATAAAGCAGCTGGAGCTGCTCAGAGCTGATGTCAAGGAGCCTGCTGGGGTGCGAGGTCTGGTCCTCCTGAGCTCAGTGGACTTGCAAGGTAAGACCGAGCTGGGTTTTGCAGTTTGGTTTGTGGATGTTTTGTGCGTGGTTGGGAGCCCATGGAAGGGCCCTCCATGGAGGGAGCAGCGTGCTCCTGCCCTGGGGATCCCTGCAGCACTGGGGCTGTGCTGGTGGCTGCTGGTCCCAGCCTCGCAGGGACCTGATGCTGGTACCTGGGGGCTCAAACAAGCGAGATGCAGGCCTGGGGTCCAGCTGCATCCCAGGGCTGGGAAAGCCCTGCTGCAAGCGTGAGGAAACATAGAGAGAGGCTGCTCCTGTGCCCGTGGCCCTGTTGACCTGGGAAGCTGTTGGAGCCTAAGTGCTTGTGACCTGCTTTTAGGGTGCCCCATGTGTACCCCAGGCAAAGCAGAGGAGGGGATCTGGCTTGTACAAATGGGTGCTCTCAGGTGCAAAGTGGGGCTGAGCTTTAAACATGGAAACTGCTGAGTAACGTGAGGTGCTTTGGAAAATCTGGGCTTTGCCACCTCCAGCTAGGCAACCAAAAGTCCTGGGAACTACTTGCAGCTTCTCCACTTCGTGTCTGTAAAATGGGCCTTTGGTGCCTCCCCACAGCTCAGAGACACGCACTGAATGTGAGCAACTGTTTGCATAGCGAGTGGAGGCCGCAGCTCTGAGGAGCCTAGAAAAGCTCAGGAGAACATAAATAATTCCGTCTTCTGAGCAGTGTGCGAGTAGCACGCAGTAAATGAGGCAGAAGGTTGCCCGCCAGCAGCGGGGATAAAACAAAATAGTGAGCAGCTGATCTGTACGTGAGCACCGGCCTCCTTTGCAGGGGATGTGGCGGCAGACTTGGGGAGAAAAGGGGACTCCTGTAAATAAAGGGTGCATTGTTGTTTGTGCGTGCAGGAGGCTGCCAGGGAAAGCAGGAGAAGCCAGTTTTTAAAACAAGGCAAAACTCCTATTGCTTTCAACGTTGTCTTGCTCTCAGACACGCACCTGCCCGACGGTAAAGCCACGAGTGCCGTGCTGGGATTTGCTCCTCCTGTTACAGCCTGTTGAGCAGCTTTTGCTTTTTGATGACTTTTGCCATCTCCGTGTGTGCTGGGAGGAAGGGCTGCAGCCGGAGCTGCTGAGCTCCGGTGAGGTGCCCGTCCCAGGAGCAGGGAGGCTGCTAAATGGACGTTTCGGTTGATGTTTGAAAAGCAAATGGCTGGATAGTTTTTACTGTTTTTTACTTGCTTGTAGCTGTGCCAACTGAGCAAGGGAAATCAATGGAGTGCTCAGGCTTGCTCGGGTGGGTGGGGGCGAGGGGACCTGCCCGGGCACTCCCCACTTTCTTCCCAAACAGGGGGGATGCCCTGAGCAAGGGGAGATGCCAGCTGGGGTGTGACAGGGCTCTGAGCTGTGCTGCGGGGGGGGGGGGGGGGGGGGGTCCTCTCCTGCTGCGACACACTGTTCCGGAGCAAGGATTAAAAAAAAAAACCCTTAAGATATTGACATATTTAATATGCTCTCCTGACTTGTCACGTTCAGAGGAATTGTTTACCTCTGCTAATGAGACACAGCTTCCTGCCAGGGGATGTAGCTACCTCTTAGCACAGCTTTACAGCAGTGCCTGATGGAAAAGAAAGAAACATCCCCATCAGCTGAAGTGCTGGGGGCTCAGAGTATGTTTCCTGTGCTGAGGCAACATATTGTGTTGCAGTATGGTCCTACTGCCAATGTGGTCATACAGATGGTTTAATAGGATGGTCCTGAAAAGACCATCCTGGAGGTCCATTTTCCTCTCTCATCTGAAGGAGGGTGCAGCAGTGCAGCATCTCGGTGGGCTCAGGTGGGGAAGCAGCTCGAGATGGCAGCAGAAAGCTCCCCAGTAAACCCTCTCTTCTGCTCAGCGGCTCTGTTTGAGCAGGTCTGTGTGCACGGAGCCATCCTGGCAAGGGTGCCCTTGCCATGTGGCTTCCTTTCCTTGCGTGTGGTAGCCATCGGGGCTGCCAAAGCCCTTGAGCTGGTGTAAGATGGCTCTCCGCTGAGTATTTGCTGGTTGAGCTGTCCCCAGCATGGTTACAGCGGCCAGCTTCACCTCCAGGGCTACGGATGATGCTCCTATTGAGGCTTCCTTAAGCAGCGGCCAAATTACACAAGGGAAGGACTTTGTGACCAAACCACAATCAGCAAACATTACCCAGACTGGTAAAGGGTGGCCAGGTTGGGAGGTGGAGCAGGTTTTCCAGGAGCAGCGTGAGGGAAGCAGCCAAGTTTGACAAGTGTGATCCCCTTCCCTGTGTCCTGTCTGGAGGGACAGGGCTGGCCAGGCATGGCCCTGGCAGGGGACCTGGCGGGTCAAGAGCAGGGAGAAGCGGAGCCAAAAATTCTGCCTGTCTCCAATATGCTCGTCCCAGAGATCAGGGACTGGAGGTGCACGATCCCTGATGGCTCCTGTATATCCCAACCTGTAAACATGCCCAGCTCTGCAGGTACCGAGCCCAAAGATGTCTTTAAGCACCCTGATGCTCTGGAGTGGCACACGGCTCAAGAGCTGTGTGGTTGTAACAGGGCAAATGCAAAAATAACCTCTAAGTGACAGTGCTGAAAGGTGGGGGAGAGCCTCAAAAGCCACCGAGTGAGTCACGCCACTATGGCTTCCTCCGCTAAAATGAAGTGTTCCTTTTTGGTTTTAGGTTTATTGAATTGTCCTTCCTCCACGGGATGCTCAATGCATTTTCTGCTGGTGGGGTGGTTTGAAGTCAGCCAGGAGGGCAGGGGGGAGCGGAAACAGATGGCCATACTTTGACTGCTCCGTTGGTCCAAGTAAGATCTGTTATAGCACTGTTGAAACAATTCCAGGTATTATTTTTGAATCTGGTTTCCTCCTCCAAGCTGTGTGTCCTCCAAAGGATCTGTCCAAAGTCTCAAGATATTTAAGTCTTCAATCTAAAAGTCAGAATGCATTAGGCAGGCAAACTTGGGCTCAGAGCTTAAAATAAACCAGTTCACTTTGAGTCTCACGCTATTAAATCAGTCGTGAGTGTCCTCATGGCAACTAGACATTGCAGGTTTCCAGCTCTCCAGCATGCTCTTCTGGTTGCTCATTTCTTGAGGGTGCACCAAAGAGCACTGCAACCTTGCTTAGGTCCAGCTCAGCCCAAAGGGACAAATCCCCAGGGGCAAATCGCAAGAGCCTCACTGAGGACAAGTTGTCCTAACAAATGGCATCACAGCAAGATTGTGCCTCCATGGGGCACATTATAGAATGGTTTGGGTTGGAAGGGACCTTTAAAGGTCATCTAGTCCAACCCCCCTACAGTGAGC